AGAAGTAAGTTCATTACTGCTTCCAACGAATACAGTGAAACAGACACAAACAAAATACGAGCTACTCAACAGTAGGCCTTTTCTTGAGGGTATAAGGATAGTATTCCTTTCCCGTGTCGACTCTCGTGGTTTGACCACCGATATCAATGGCAGCTGATGTTGCAGCAAGTGCAGCTCCTGCAGATAGGGCTGTTGATATGCTTTTACCTGCATGAAGGAAATATGTCGACATTTATTCATCTCAAGCACATTTATTGCATATTCGAGTGGAAACAAAATGGTGGGAGAATAAGTGCTCTGTTACATGTGAGGAAAAAAAACTAAAATTGAAGATATACTATCCAGCAGAAAAGCCAAAGGTGGAGATGAAATCTTAGCCATAAGACATTCATAATATATAACATAAAATGCAAAGGTAGAGGATTCGGCATAAAAGCCACAGGTGCAAGTAGCAGAAAGGCATCACTAACACTGATTATCAACCGAGATTTGTTGATAAATACCAACATCTATGCCGGCTACAATTCTATTTTGCCATGTTCTCAAGATTTCACTTGTCACTACTGAAAACGTATCGTGTAGTGAACAACTGAATATCCATTCAAAACATGCTAAAATCACGAGAATAATAGGCGAAGCCATCATCATTGAACAATACACGGGCACAAAATATTTGTCTAAAAACCAGTAAGCATTCACAAACACATGTATAAAACGAGATGCACAAAAATAAAGTCAGCAGTATAAAAACAACATTGAAATGGAAGAAAATAAAGTTTCACCTTTGAAACCCAGAATAGAAGCACCAGCAACAAATCCACCAACAGCTCCATTAATAAAGTCTCTTTTCATCCTGTATTTCTGCACGATCTGCTCGACCCCAATGTAGACCCCACCTATGGCAGCAAATGTGACTCCATGATTACCCATCATCTTCAGAGTCCGGATTAAACCAGGAAGCGCGATTCTTCTCTCAACACGAGGCACATCGTGCCAGGTGGCAACAATCGTACCCCAGAGAGTGCCAGCTGCTAGTCCCGTGACTGTCCCCTTTAGAGTTTTCATAACAGGAGTCTCTTCATCCTCAAATTTCCTAAGATCCTCGGTGTCTATTTTAGCCATCTTTGACTAATACAACTAAAGAATGTACAACAAGGTGGCCAAGAAAACGGCAGAACAGAAAAAATCAGAAGCTTACACACAAAATTCAATTTTCTGAAAAGAACAGAGAAGTGGATAAACGAAATGCAAGACATCCCAAATGTAATACATATTGTAAAACGCCAGTGAAGGGCCTTTATTAGAAAGTACCGATAAGGCCTGGCAAGAACTAGAGGTGGCAAGTGTAGGAAACTGAAACTCAACCAGATGATAGTTCACAACTACTGAAAATCAGA